CCGGAGCTCCTGGCCTGAGAAAGGAGGGAGCCCTGGGGCTGAGGAGGTGCTCGGGCGGCCAGCGGGGAGCCATGACTGCAGTGGGCCGAAGGTGCCCCACGCTGGGACCCAGAGGGTGAGTGACCAGCGGGGCGCGGGGGGGCTGGCGGGGGCCGCAGGGGTCTGAGGGGGAAATCCGTGCCCCTGCGGCAACTGACAAACCGGTGCTGGTTTAGCATCAGGGACTTTGGGTGGAACTCTGTCCCGTTCTGTCTGGAAACAAGTTGGGCATTTACTCCTCAGAACCGCCCCGGGAGAGAGACACTACATCACGCCCATTTTACAGATGAGGAAAGAGAGGGTTACTGTGCCCAGTTTGACACAACAGCAAAGATCAGAACCAGGGTTTTACTCCACCTTCCTGCCTGTGCCCTTAAAGGGTGGGCAACCCCTTCCTCTCCAGCAGGGCTCTTGGGAAGCCTTGGGAATGCCAAGTCTAGGACCCAGCCTTCCTCCCCTGCGGCAGGCAGGAGCCTGGTGGTCCTGGCAGTGCCTCTGGCATCAAGCATGGCCTAAAGCTGTCAGAGAAATAGACTCTCCCTCACCCTCTAATCATCTGGAGTGTCCAGGGGGCCAGAGGGGGTGGGTTTGCAGGTCAGACTGAGCCCTCCTGTATCCTGGGACCCAGTGTCCCACGCTGCCTTTCAGCCAAGGAGGAGGCCAGGAATTGCTGGACGTTTTCGGGAGCCCCTGAAGCCCAGGCCTGTACACCCGAGTCAGGAGCGCTGCTCGCCCTGCCCTCCTCTGGGCCTCAGTCTCCCCAGAAGCCCAGATGGGCCTGCGATGGCTTCTGAGGATCCATCCAACTACGGAGGAAGGCATTTGAGAACTGTCGCTGAGCAAGACTGGGGGCCTCGATCCCATAGGGGGTCCCCAGGGGATGTTTCCAGTGTCTGCCCAGAGAGCAGCCTAAATCGGTTGTCCCTCCCCCTCCCCTGGGGAGGCAGGGTGCACCTGGAGCAGAAGGAAGGAAGGGGAAGAGGTGAGGCTGCAGGGGTTTCCTGGTGCCCAGTTCCCTGTTGAGATCATGGGATGAGGAGGGAGGAGGGAGGGGCCAACAACACCGGGTATGAAGCGCCTTTAGGAGAGTGTCAGCCTGGCCTGCCCCCACCCCAGCACCCTCTGCAGGGAAGTAGCCTGACCAGAGAGACTCCTGACACCCTTCCCTCTCAGTCCATGTTCCAGAGGAGGAAGCCAAGGGAGGCTCCCAACAGCCCACACCCACACCCACACCCACACCCACACCCACACCGGAATCATCAGGCCAGGGCACCAGCAGAGGTGATGGAGATCTGGCTCATCACTGGCCAGGCCCTGCCCGGAGCTCCCAATGGGCACTGTCTACCACATGGGCCCTAGGTGTGTGGGGGGGTTGGAGGAGGGGGGAGAAGGATGAGGGGGCTCCTATTTGCCACATTTTATCAGTGAGGAGACTGAGGTTCAGAGAGGGGAAGGGGTGTTCCTGGGACTGCAGAGATTAAGTGTCAGAGCCTAGATTTGACCCCAAGCCCAAGCCCTGAATGTTTCACCACCTACAAGTAAAAGGCTCAAACCCTGTTTCTACCATTATTTCAAGTGACTTCCCATAACCCCCTGGAGAGAGATGTTAGGAGCCCAGTTTACAGAGGAAGACATTGAGGCTTTATAAAGGTAACGACTTGCATGAGATCACACAGTTAGCTGAGTTGGAGTGTTAGTAATTTTAACATTTGCTGAGATGTAATTCTGCCCTAGACAGTATTCTAGGTCCTGGGGAGACAGCAGTGGGCACAGCAGGCAAAACCCTGGGCTCCCGGAGCCCCCATTCCAGGGTGGGGGTGACAGATGATTAACGAGAAAGCGAGTTATACCGTCAGAGGAGAAAAGCGTCAGGGAGAGGTTTAAATCAATAAGGGCATTGGTCGTGGGGGGAGTGGCTAGTGGTGGCAATTTAGGGAGGTTAGCTAGGAAAAACGTCCCTGAGAAAATGACGCTTAAACAAAGGAGATGAGGTAACAGTCCCTCTTGCTATCTGGGGGAGCGCGTACCAGGCCGAGGGGACAGCATGGCCAAAGGTCCCCAGGTGGGGCGTCCTTGGCATATTTGAGAACAAGGCGGGGGGCTGGGGGAGAGGAGTGGGAGGGGACAGGCTGGAGAGGACATGGGTTCAGGGACCGTAAGGCCCGGCAGGCCCGGAGGCCCGGCTGTGACTGTGCGGCCATTGCTGGCCTTGAGCGCATGAGGGCCATACTGTGACTTGGGGTGACAAGGACCTCTCCTTTCAGGGGGATCTGAATGCACTTCTACTCATTGTAAAGGTCCCACCCAAGTGCCCTTTCCTCCGACCCAGAGACCCGACCCCTCCACCCCCGTTCCTAGGGCTGTTCAGAAGGAACCTGAGACTTGGGGAAGGTGGTACCCCATAGGGGAGCCAGGGCACCCTGTGTTGCCTGGACCCCAGCCCTGATGCCAGGCACTGAGAACAGGCCAGCTCCCCCCTTTCCTCCTGGAATGTTGATTCTGGTCCAAGAATTCCCAGTGCTCCCCAGAGTCCCACGACCCTCTCGGCCCTGCAGAGTGACGTCAGCTGCTGGGCATCTGGTAGTGATTACCCACTGGGGGAGGGGGCGGTGGGGGCCCAGCCCGCTCAGCCTCCTCAGGCTCAGGGCGGCTGGTCCTTGTCTTCCGAAGGGGCCCAGCTGCTCCTGGCTCTCATTTCCTGTGGAGACTTTCTCACAGTCCTCGAGACCCCCGGACGCCTCGGGCTGTGGGAACTGTGCTGGTTCAGGAACGATGGACTGCCCCGCCCCCAGCTGAGACAATCCCCCTCAACCCTCAGGGGGCCCTGCTTGCAGCGTGGGCCACCTATGTCGGGGGTGAGGGCTGGGAGGACAGGGGTGGGATGTATCCGCAGCTCAGAGGCCCCCTGACTCTACATCCTTGAACTCAACTCCCCTCTCTGAGCCTCAGTTTCCCCATCTATAAACTGGGGAAATTAACAGCAGCTGCTTCACAGGGTTGCTGTGGGGATTGGATGAGATGTGGCAGGTGGGACATTTACCCTGGGCTTGACCCAAGAAAGTACCAATACACGGGAGCCGCTCATACCGCCATGCCCAGGGTACAGAAGAGGAAACTGAGGCCCGATGAGGGGGTTTGCCCAGGGTCACACAGCTTCCTCCCTCCCGGCCGAGGGCCCTCCCCAGAGCCCCAGCGGGTCTTCCCTCTGCACCCACATGCCCTTTCCTCTTTCTGACATCGGTTCTGGGCTCCGATTTGGATGAAATCTCTTTCCTTGCCATCCCCTCCCCAGCTTCCCCTCTCCCCCCACCAGGAGCAGCCTCTGTTTCCTGGGGGGACCACCTCATGCAAGGGACAGCGCAGAGCCCACCCCGACCCAGTCTGCGCAGCCGTGTGTCCTGGGTCAGGTCCCCAGCTTCCTTTCCTCCCCTAGAACATGGGGCTTCCGGTCCCGGGCCTTCGGTCAGCATCCAGCGCGTGCCTTCCCGTCTGCTCTTCTCCTGCACATTCTGCAGCCTCAGAACTCAGAGTCCCTGGCTCTGCCCTCTTCTTACAAGGCTGCTGCCCTCTCTGAGCTCCTGCCGGGAGCTCACCCCTGCCAAGGAGTCTGAGGGCGCAGAATGGTGGAGAAGGAGCAGGCTTGCCTCCAGGACAGTGGCCCATCTTAGAGGTGGTGGGGCAGGGCGGGCGCTAAAGCCAAGGGCCCTCCTGGCAGGAGATCCCAAAGGCCCGCAGCAGGGTGTCCCTGGAGAGCCGGGGCGTCCTGCCCCAGATCGCTCTCTGCCCGGGGCCCTTAAAGCGTGAGGAACACAGAGCAGGTTGCTTGTCGGCCAGGGCGGAGTGAAGGTCAAGGTGAAGGCGGGAAAGAATCTTGCTGCCCCAGGGCAGGATGGGAGATCCCGGGGAGAGGGGCTGGGGCAGAGAGAGGAGCCACACGGGCTCGGGAACCTCGCACCCTTCCCTCTCACAGGATCCTTGTGGCCCCTCTGGGAAGACAGTTAAAATGAGTCACTTTCACAGATGAGGACGTTGACCCTCAGAGAGGGGAAGGCAAAGGGAAAGCCAAGAAGCAGGAGGCAGCGGCCGGGGAAGTCTCCACTCAGGGCCGTCTGAGCAGGCCTCCAGGCCCAAGGGGACAAACGAGGGGACAGACAGAGGGCAAAGCTGCCTGTGGGGAGGGAGGGCCCGGGTGGGGCAGGATGGCGGCCCCTCCACTGCCTCTCCTCGGGGAGCCCGGGGGAGCCGTGCCCTTTCCTCTGGGCCAGGATGGAGGTCCTGAAGGTCACGTGGTGCTCAGACTTAAACCTGCATCAGGGGAATAAAAGGTAATTGGCTTTAATTACTGCTCATTAATCCAATTAACTAAGTTAAAATATGCACCGAGTGGTATCAGTTATCAGAACAAATCAGTTAATATGGGCAATTAAAGGGGTTGGTTATTTAAATAATTAATGCAGCTGATTAATGGGACTGATTTAGCTCAATTGTCACTATTATTTATTAATTGATTTCACCACTGATATTAGAGGGGATGTGCCTTTTAAATCCATAAAATACACGGAATAAGTTAATTAATGAATGGAGCCGAGTGTTTAGAAATGAAAGCTTTGATTCCTGGTTTGCTCATTACAAGAGGGAGAACGTTCTAGAAATCTCCAAGCAAACTGAGAACTGAAGTCTAAGTAGGAATTTCCCTGGCCCTGAGGCAAAGAGGAGGCTCCAGGCAGAGGAAACAGCATGGACAAAGGCCCTGAGGCTGGAGGGAGATGACCCTTGGGAGGAAGTGTGCGGTGGAAGAGTTAGAGGAGAGAGGATGGGGGCTGGCAGAGGGCCCTCCTAGGGCACGGAGCCACCATGAGGACTAGACTTTACCCTTAGGTTGCAGGGGCTGCTGTGACCTTCATTCATTCATGAACATCTTTACGGGGTGCCTGGCGCTGCTGTGGGCAGGTCTCAATCCTTGGGGAGCTGAGGGTATAGTGAGAAGAGACAGTCAGCGCTTGCGTCAGGCCCACGGTCAGTCAGATGTGCTCCGAGGAGAACTGGGCAGGGCAGGGAGGTGGGAGCTGGAGAAGGACACAGTTTTAGGTGGGTGGCCAGGGAAGGCCTCACTGAGAAGGGGGCATTTTAGTAAAGACCTGCAGGTGGGAGGGGGAGCTCAGTGGAAAGTATTCCAGCAGAGGGAACAGAAAGTGCAAAGGCCTGAGGTGGGGGTGAACTCCAGCAAGAAGCCCAGCTTGGCCTGAGCAGGGTGGTCAGACCTAGGGCGGGGGAGAGGCGGGGAGGCTGTGAACGCTGTCATGAGAACTTTGGCTCTTACTTTCAGTGAAACTGGGGTCACTCCTGTGGGTTGGAGCAGAGAAAAGCCATGATCTGACTGTTATTTTAACGGGACTGCTTGTGCTGCTTGGGGTGAGAACGAGCCACAGGCACAGACGGAGGCCTGTGAGGAGGTGGTGGCCACACTCTGAACAAGTGGCGGCAGTGGGTGTAAGCAGACATAGCCATCTTCTGTCTTGGAAATCCTGTGGGGGCTGACTGCTGCCCAGGCCCTTAGCTTCCCGGGCCTCTGCCCTGAGCACCCCCATTGCCCTGGGCACCCCATCCCACCTGATCCCTGGTGCAGCCTTCCCTCCCCAAGGCTCCTCTCCCGCCCACAGCCTGAGGGGAAGTAGACAGGAAGCTGGAGGAAGTGCTGGGGTGATCCCAGTGTCCTGGCCAATCTGTTCCCACCAGTCGAAGGATTTCCGGGCTTGAATGGCCGGAAACACTGGGATGGGATGCCTCACCCGGGAAGAGCAGTGGCTGTAAGCAGGGCAGGGGTCCCCCGTCATTGGACAGAGAGGACCCGAGAAGCCTGCTGTGGCGGGGCTGCAGCCTGAGGGACTATAGTTAAAGGAAGGACCTTACAGGAGGGAAGGTTAGCAACAGAGACTATAGAACAGCGGTTCTCAACCTGTGGGTCGCGACCCCTTTGGCGGTCGAATGACCCTTTCACAGGGGTCGCCTAAGACCATCCTGCATATCAGATATTTACATTACGATTCATAACAGTAGCAACATTACAGTTCTGAAGTAGCAACGAAAATAATTTTCTGGTTGGGGGGTCACCACAACATGAGGAACTGTATTAAAGGGTCGCGGCATCAAGAAGGTTGAGAACCACTGCTATAGAATGTTGCACAAAGGAGGGCTGTCAGACTGCTGCACAGTGAGGAGCCCCTGGCCTCAGGGATTCTGCCCTGGGAACACATACCTTAACCACTGTTATTTTTGTAAGCTCAGATTTTTTGGTTTTGTTATGTTTTAAATCTATTTTATTAAAATTACTACATTTAAATTTAAATATTGCACTTCTATATGTGAGGAAGCAGTTCCCCAATGTTCAAACTTCTTCCCTATTCTGCAGCTGGGAATAGATGCTGAGGCCTGTGTCAGCTAGACAAGCAGGGCCCCGCCTGGCAGAATTCATAATCATGATAGTGGTTAACATTGCTCGAGAGTTAGTATTCATGCATTCCTTTAAGCAATAAATATTCCTTGAGCTCCTACTAGATGCAGGGCACTCGGCTGAAGGCTGGGGTTTCAACAATGAATAAGACAAAGTGGAGGTGTCAGGTAATTAACAGTCAACAAACAACTGTCAAGTGGTCATTTCGGGCAGGGGTTGATGTGGGGAAACATAAAGCAGGGCAGAAGGGACAGCAAGTGCAAAGGCCCTGTGGCAAGAATGAGCTTGGCTCGGAGGCCAATGTGGCTGGGGTGGGAGGAGGGTCAGAATGAGTGAAGAGGCATGTGGGGCGGGGTTGGCAAGATGGGGGGTTGGGCACCTCCAGGCCACACAGGATCCTAGAGATTGGGGAGCATAAACCCAGTTTATGCCTATTTTTCGAGCATGATAATGGCACTGTACTCTCGCAGGGGGAGAAGCATTCTGGATTGGATGATAAATGACGTGGCCAGCCATCTGCAGGCCATGGAGGAAGGTTTAGATTTTGTTCTGAGAGATGGGAGGGTCGGGGTGGTGTGTGTTCCTGATCTGCTTAGGTTTTCAGCCTAGTGCCGGCTGGTGGTGGAGGGGAGGCTGACAGAGGGGTGTGAGAGCCAGCCAGTGCGAAGGCTCAGGTGGGGCAGGGCTGACACATGGAGAGACATGGTCAGGATCTATTCTGGAAGGAGACCGCAGGATTTCCTGGTGGCTGGGTGTGGAGTGTGAGTGAGAGAGGAGGCACAGATGACCGGAGGTTCTTGGCCAAACAAAGCAACGAGAAGAATGAAGCTGACACTAACTGATCTGGGAAGTGGGTGTGGGCGCAGGGCGCGGCGCAGGAGGACCCAGCGGGCCTGGTTCGGATGTGGCGAGGTCAGGATGACAGCAGACATCCAGGAGGAGATGCCATAGGCAGCTGGGTTCACGAGTCCCGTGTCGCAGGGACAGGTCCAGGCTGTATCAGAGGAGGCATGCCATTGCAGGCCAGGGCCTGGGGGGAGCGACTCACCGTGGCCCCCATGAGAAAGGAGATGTTTGTTTAGCACCAGGAAAAACAGACACCCTGGTCTCTGGCCCCTTCAGGCCCCATCCTGGCCCCATCCTGGCCCCATCCTGGCCCCATCCTAGCCACCCTGGAGACAGAGGGATCAATTCTGCAGCAAGTGTTCCAGCAGTGGCACCAGAGTCCTAGGCAGCCGCTGGGGGCAGGCGGGGGGCGGGGGGTGTCACTCCGCACTGGGGACCAGTGCAGGGCAGGAGGAGAAGAGGCTGAGGCCCAGCCTGGGGCCTCCAACTGCTCCAGTCAGGGCCGGGTGGAGGGAGAGCAGGAGGGGTGGGGGGAGCAGGCAGTGGCCTACAGCAGTGTGAAGACAGTGACCAGGAACAGGCCTGTGTCAAGCACCAAACATTCATCAGCTTCTTAAGTCCTCACGACAACCCGATGAGGCAGAGGCCCTATTCACAGGAAGCCCAGGCTCAGAGAGGTGCAGGGGTTTGCTCTCTGGCCCCTTCAGGCCCCATCCTGGCCCCATCCTGGCCACCCTGGAGACAGAGGGATCAATTCCACAGCAAGTGTTCCAGCGGTGGCACCAGAGTCCTAGGCAGCCACTGGGGGTGGGGGACGGGGGATCACTCTGCACTGGGGACCAGTGCAGGGCAGGAGGAGAAGAGGCCGAGGCCAAGCCTGGGGCCTCCAACTGCTCCAGTCAGGGCCGGGTGGAGGGAGAGCAGGAGGGGTGGGGGGAGCAGGCAGTGGCCTACAGCAGTGTGAAGACAGTGACCAGGAACAGGCCTGTGTCAAGCACCAAACATTCATCAGCTTCTTAAATCCTCACGACAACCCGATGAGGCAGAGGCCCTATTCACAGGAAGCCCAGGCTCAGAGAGGTGCAGGGGTTTGCCCAGGGCCCCACAGCTAGAGAGCGAGGAGCAGCCACGCCTGCAGATTCCAGGAAGCGCTCTCAGCTGCAGTGCCCCTCGGCCTTCAGGATGAGTCCTCCGGAGAACTGAGGACCGGTGCTGGCACCAGGCAGGCAGCTGGGGAGCCAGGAAGGGCTGGGGACACTCACCTCTCTTCTTTCCCCCCAGGGCTGCTGGAGAGCCGGAGGCTGGCGGGGACTACGTGAAGGTAGGAGGGACTGGGCAGGGGACACTGGAGGGAGGGCTCAGAGCTGTTCCACGAAGGGCTAAATCATTTCCTGAGCCTTTTTAGGAGCCAGATCTCACTGTCTGTCCCCAGGAGGAAGGGGTCTAGGGGTTAGGGCAACATCTGGGGTTTGGTTTCCCTCCAAGCATCTTCTTCCCATGGGTGCCATCATTCTGTCCTGGCCCCCCACTCAGGACATCCCAATGCTTGTTACCAGCAGACCTCACCCACTGCCGGCTGGACAGCACCCCAAGGGTGTCTCTATGCAAAGGCCATACTCCAGCCCAGCCCAGTTTCTGCACATGTGCTGGTGCTGGGAGGTGGGAGCAGGGAAGAATGACTCTTCATCATCACAGACACGTTGATCACAAGCTGAACATGTTCTGGGAGCTGGGAACGTTGAAAATGCAGTTTTGAAATGATGGTAACAACAATAATCCGACACAACATTTTGAGTGCCTACTGTGCGCAGAGCCCTGTGCTGGCTGCTGGCACTGGAAGGGAGACAGTTTTGAGCTCTTTGCATGAATGAGGTCTTACTTCTTCCTCATCACTGGGCAGAGAAGGCCTTCCTGTGGCCACTTACAGATGGGAAACTTGAGACCCAGAGAAGTGCAGTGACTTGCTCATAGCCACACAGCTACTGGTGGTGGTGGGGCGGGGGCAACGAGTGGGGCTAGGATTGCCATCCAAGTTTACCTAATGCCAAGACCATGGACAAAGCCCTTGACCTTCTACCTCAGGAGCACCCGCCCTCGTCCAGGGCTCCTGCTGAGACAGAACCACAGCAGAGGGCGAGGAGCACCAGGCCCTGTGCTCAAAGGGCTCCTTGTCCGTGTTGGGACCAGGCAGAACCACACAATGGTTCAGGCTTGTGTTTTGTGATCCGGCAGCTCCTAATTTTAGTCCCAGATCTGCCACTTATTTGCCACATGACGGGGTGTGTGCATGCGACTTCTCTGAGCCTCGGTGTTCACCTCTGAGAAATGGGATAACAGTGACACCACCAACCCTGAGTTGCTATGGGCTCAATGAAGGAGCTGGGCCTGAAACAGAGCAGGCTGGCCTGGCTCCTGGCCACGGGGTCACCCATCACCTGAGACGCTGCCTGTACAGTTCTGTGTAAGTGACGAGTGATGAGGCAGTACGGAGCGTACTCGGATTGCTGTCCCCCACCCTCACCTGAAGGCTCATGTAAGAAGCATTGGAGCTCCAGAAGTAGGGGATGACTTTCAGCTCAGGAGCTGGGAGGGGGGATCAAGGAAGGCTCTCTGGAGGAGGCGACATTGAATCCACGCCATTGCAGTTGACCAGGACATTCACTAACATCCTCTCCCCGAAAGAAAAGCTGGAAAGGAGAGAAAGGCCAGCAGAGATGGGCGGCAGAGAGGTCCAGGCAGAGGCAAGAGTGTGGACAGGGTCAGAGAGAAGCTGGGCGAGCCCGGGAAGGGCAGCTTAAGGCTGCAGCAAGGCGAGCAGGGGCTGCTCCTGGGACTGCGCCCCGGCTCCTCACACAGAGCGTTACCCCACAGGGGACAGAAGCCCCGGGAGAATCAGCACCAAAGCCAGTTGGCAGCACATGGGGACGTAGTTCAGCACCCCGCAAGCCCAGCTTCTGGAAAGATAGTGAGATCCCCATCGCTGACGGGGGCGAGATTCCTGTGAGGATGATAAGCTTTGTACTTTTCTTATAGTTTATGGTGCTAAAAAATTAATTAAAATATTACAGAAGAAATTATAGCTGTGCGCTGAAACTGATCCAGTGGTTCTCAACCTTCTGGCCCTTTAAATACAGTTCCTCATGTTGTGACCCAACCATAAAATTATTTTCGTTGCTACTTCATAACTGTCATGTTGCTACTGTTATGAATCATAATGTAAATATCTGATCTGCAGGATGGTCTTAGGCGACCCCTGTGAAAGGGTCGTTCAACCACCAAAGGGGTCGCGACCCACAGGTTGAGAACCGCTAGGTTAAACTGTCTCCTTAAGGATGAAGTCAGAAGGATGTTAGCTTTAAGCCTCAGACGAGGGTGGAATCAATAGTTTCCAAAAGCCCGTTTCTGCCCCGAGGTTCTCAGCTTCCAGGACCCCCGGATTCTCAGACCAGGGAGTGGGTACTTCATCGAAGGCAAGGATTCTAGCGTCCCAAGGCCGCACAACCCCAAGTTCCACACTCAGAGCGGCAGATGTGTTCACAGAAAACACTCAGATACAAGGGACGCCCAGAGAGGTGGCCTGAGGTCGCCCCGCCTGTCCAAAGGGTGTGAACCCCAGTAATGACTCCCTTTGCATGGAAGACCGTATAATTCTAGGACAGAAAGTCCGGATTCTGACACTAGGATGGGAAATAATCGCGTGCATTTATTGAGTACTTACTTTCGGCCTGGCCAGTGCTCACAAGAGTTCTGTGAGGTCAGCACAGGTATGTTTTGCAGATGACTACATCTGGGCTCCAAGAGAAGGGACTGGTGGGCTGGGGGCGGGGACACAGCTAGTTGAACCCAGGTGGGTGCCCTAACCATTGAGCTACTGGCTCTCTGCACCCCAGCGGCTGCTGTCAGCCGACCATCCTGTGATTCTCAGCAGAGTCCTTGATTCCAAATCAGAGATGAGAACTCCTGGGCTCTGGGAGATTTTCTTCTGAGGCCACAAAGGATTTCGTTAACCACATACAGGAATTTTTCCAGCTTTGGATAGGATTTAATTCAAAGTCTCTGCCTGCTCTGGGTCGGTGAGGGGTGCAGCGAGTGGAGGAGGCAGAAGCGCCCTCGCCGGCCCAGGGGTCCCCACCCCATCCCACTATCCCTCGTGATGGCCCCCCTGTCAGGTCCTCCGCTGCGCATCCCCCTATCCAGGCAGCCTGGGCGCTCGGGGCTGGAGCGCGTGGGGGC